TCACTCAACAGCCGGGATCCATTTCATTCTATCATGGAGATTAATCTACTTTTACACCTGCCAGACCACTCAGAACTTATTCTGTCTACGCTAATTTCTTCAATTATAATCACAAGTCTTCTCCCAGAATTCTTTACCCACATTGTTTCTCTCACTGGTAGACATCAACATAGACCATTTAGTTACAACCCTGGCTATGCCCTCCGGCCGCATGCACATTTTATACTGTTTTCCTTAATAGGCCCTATTTTTTCCTTAGTTATCCTTTTGTTCTTAAACGTACTTGTAAATTAGCTTAGGATTTTCCTTCCCATTGTCAGCCACTAACCTTCCCCAATAATAGCTATTCACCATCCTAGCCAGATCGTTATCCACTCCTATGTCTGTCCAACTGTTCTTCGCTCTCTTTGAGCTTTATCCAAACCTATCGTTTGCTGCTTAGCACCCCCCTCCCCCACCCTATCTTCTGCATATAAACCAATATTTTCCTAGCTAACATCAGTTCTGAGGAAGGTCCCTCAACTCAAAATGTTAACTGATTTTTCTCCACAGATGCTGCCAATCCTGCTGAGCTTTTCCATCAATTTGTTTTTCTTTAGCATTTTCTGTTATTTGACTTGTCATTATTCTTTCATGCTCCCTTTTGGCTCTCCTAATTTCCTTTCTGAGTTCTCCCTTACGTATTCTATATTCCTGTAGGGATTCTACTGTTTTGAATCCTCGGCATCTGTCATAAGCCTTCCTTTTTCTTTTTATCCAATCCTGTGTATCCCTCAATATCTAGGATTCACTGGGTTTGTTAGTCCCACTCTTTATCATTACTACAATATGTTGGCCTTGTACTCTCTCCATTTCCTTCTTGAATGCATCCACTGTCATAGAGTCATATAGTACAGGAACAGCCTTTGGTCCAAGCCGACCAGGCTTCTCAAACTAAACTGGGTCCCTTTTGCCTGCATTTGGCCCATATCCCTTTAAACCTTTCCTATTCATGTACCTGTCCAATTGTCTTTTGCTCTGACAGATCTACCTAAAAGTATCTGCTCCCAATCCACTCTGGACAAATCATATCCGACCTTATTACAGCCTGTCTACTTTGACTTAAGAATCTTGACTTCAGGCCCTTCCTTGTCTTTTTCCTGAACAACTTTGAAACTAACAGTTATGATTACTATCTGTAACATGATCCCCCACTGGCACCTCAATCACTTGCCCGTCTTCATTACCTAAAATTAAGTCTAGAACCAATCCTTCTCTTGTAGAGCCTTCTATGTACTGGCTTAAAAAGCTCTCCTCAATGCATTTTAAAATTCCGTTTCCTCTAAACCTTTCACACTATGAATACTCCAATTAATGTTAGGGAAGTTGAAACTTCCCACTATCACTACCCTATCTCTTTAACAGTTCCCTATTAGGGGGCACATCACCCCACCTTGTGAAACTTCTTCAGTCATTACTTAGCTCTGGCCCTCGGTCACTCTGCAATTGCGGTGCTCTGGTCGGTGCCATATCAGCAGTAGTAACTGCCTCGTCAGTGGTGCTGCTAAGTGAAAGAATTGCTGTTCTCTCATTTACCAACAGCTCTCAGGAGGTAGGATTTTCCAAGTTCAGGGTCCTGATCCTAAGGAAGATCACCACTAGCCTTATAAATGCTGATTGGCTCATAATTCAGCAAGCTTTCCTCAAAGAAGGTAAAGTGGGTCTTTTGCCTGCTCTTTAGTTAGTTTCCAAGACACCTGTCACCTCCATAAAAGGCCCTCTAAATTTAAGTTCTGAGGTGATTATAGTTTCAGCTAAGATATTATATCAGCACACTGGACAATCCTTTTATACGTTGTACATTATGAAGAGTAAAGAGTGTTATGAGTTGCTATTTCAGTTTAAGGAAAAGCTAGCTGGGGTCTTGTGGCACAGTGGTAGTGTCCCTACCTCTGAGCCAGGAGGCCTGGGTTCACGTCCCAACTGCTCCAGAAGTGTGTCATAGCATGTCTGAACAGGTTGATTGGAAAATATTTAAATGGACACGCTGCTTGATGTAATCCACCAGCCTTTGGAATGCACAACCTACATACTTAGTATCACACAGGCACTGAAATTCACATACCATATTCTTCATTTGTATCATGGGCAGAACAGCTTTTTAGCCTGATGGCAGCATCCTAATAATGGAGGATACCACCTATTTGCTAACACCTAGCTCAAACAGTATCTCAAAAATTTGAACAATCATTGAAGCCAGTTGTCTCATGCTGCTACTATTGCAAATTATTTTGATAAGTGAAAAGCTTCCACAAAATGTGACTTTTTCCAGTAACACTCAAGGACAGTAGCGCCAGATGACTAAAAAGAAAATGATATGTTGAAATGTTTGGAGTATCTTTCTGGTCTTCCTGCTACAGGAAAGATGTTGTGAAACGTGAAAGGGTTCAGAAAAGATTTACAAGGATGTTGCCAGGGTTGGAGGGTTTGAGCTATAGGGAGAGGCTGAACAGGCTAGGGCTATTTTCCCTGGAGTGTTGGAAGCTGAAGGGTGATTTTATAGAAGTTTATAAAATCATGAGGGGCATTGATAGGGTGAATAGCCAAGGTTTTACTCCAGCATAGAGGAGTTCAAAACTAGAGGGAATAGGTTTAAGGTGAGAGGGGAAAGATTTAAAAGGGACCCAAGGGGCAAATTTTTCATGCAAAGGGTGATGTGTGCATGGAATGAGCTGCCAGAGGAAGTGGTGGAGGCTGATACAACACTTAAAAGGCATCTGGATGGGTATATGAATAGGAAGGGTTTAGATGGATATGGGCCAAATGTTGGTAAATGGGACTAGATTAATTTACGATATCTGGTTGGTGTAGAAGAGTTAGACCAAAGGGTCTGTTTCCATGCTGTATATCTCTATGACTCTATCAAGATGAGCTTCTGCCAACTGTTTCACTTATCCGGGTTAAAAAAAAAATCATTTATTCATTGAGCTAGTCATTTGCGGTTTGATCTGGTAGTTTTGATTCTTTTCTAAAAAATAATCTTACATGCTTTCAGGGTGAAAGGCTCAAACATGTGTAACTCGGTGGTGATTGTCATATCCCTGGTAATACAGAAACCAAAAACAAAACATAATGTGTATATAAATAGAGATATAGTTAGTGTCCCATAACAATGTATTTACTAAAATTCTTCAGGTTGTGCTTAATTCTATTTCTTTGTAGAAAAACATGAGCTTGTTTGGGTAGTGTAGTCAAGAGCAGAAAGCATATATTATAGTTGGAAGCAAATTGATGGAATTAAAAAAAACTATTTAGATGGGCTAAACTAACAGTACATAAGTCACAAAACCATTGCCTTCCAATACATTCAATATTTTTTTATTTACCTATTTTTCTAATCAACCTGTTCGGAGATGTTATGATGCATTTCTAGAGCAGGTGGGACTTGAACCTGGTCCAGGGGTAGTGGCACTACCAATGCACCATAAGAGGGTCCCACCCAGTACATTCACATTTAGAACTTAATTCAAGCCAACTGTTCTCAAAAGGTTCTAATTAACTTAATGAGATATGCAAGTAGAAAAAAAGAACAGCATGATAAAAGTGAACAGCATGCCTGTCTCAGATGGTTTCAGCTGTCTGGAAGAACAGCCCTGCCTGCAAACAGGATGCAAAAAAAATGTAATTCATCAACTTATTTTAATAAGAATGGCAAAAGGCCTTGAGAAAGCCTTCCAAGGCTATCTGAAAATTATTTACCTTCTTGCCTTAATATCTGCATATATCACAGGAAATTGTGGAAAAGTTTGCAAATAAAAAATCCTGGCAAAGTCATTCTATAAAATGGTATGCCATGTGATTGCCATAGCAAATATAGATCTCAAGTTGGTCACGAGGGAACGTGATGACAAAAAAAGAAAAGAGGGATAAATAAATGTAATATGGGTCTGCTCATCATTTTATCTGAAGAGAGTACTCATGGGTTAGGGAATATTTAAAAGGTAAGAAAGATAATTAACAAAAATAAACAATTGCTGTTTCTTTCCTGAGAAATTAAAGTTGGGAAACAATTGATTTGCCAAATGTTTTCTTCATGATTTCGGTGAATGGCTAAGCAAGCTAGAGGGGCTGAATGGCCCACACCTTTCCTATGATAGATCTGTGTTGTTGTGGAGTTAAGTCATAGATCAGTAACTATTAAATGGTACAGAAGGCTCAAAGGGTTAAATGCCGTAAATTTGAAGATCTTAGGTTCTTATATTCTGCAATCCAGTAGTGCTGGCGTTCTGTGTGCCTTTGCCCGGGCTAGTGTTCCAACACAGCACCACATCAGTGGCTGTAGCATAAGTGGTGAAATCCTGCTGAATTTCAGTGGAGTAAGTTGTAAATATCCTAATATGGCAACCTTTATATAACTGTATGCTGAGAAGGTCTGGTTTTAGACTGCATCATCTTGGCAGTGGCAGGGGCAGAATGGGATAGCTGGCTGACAGGCAACAATAAGGTCACTGATCCAGTTGCAGGGGTGGGAGAAAAGACAGCAGATTCATCCTCCGTGGAGTAATTTTCACTCTGCAGAGGTGATGCCTCAACAATGTGGAGTGCAAAGGAAACTAGGGACAGGCAATAAATGCTGGCCAGCCAGTCCCATGAGTGGATAAAAAAAAATTGTCACCACTTACTTTCCCTGTTTGGCATCAATTCACCATGGACCTCTGTGAAGGGAAGCTTTCTACATTAATGTGCTATGTAAGTTCAAGCTATTGTCTTAACAATAATTAGCACACAAAAGACTCACTGAAGGGCTGAGTAAATGGTGGATTGTTCAAGATTGTGACTGATATTTGTGAACTAAGAGCCTGTAGATGGATAAATCAGGAATTAATTCTATTAGGATATCATAATTTTTAGGTCTATCTATGGATTCTGGGAATTCTGAAAAAAAGAGTCATTGCAATCATTTTATAAAACTAGCCTGGTTAGATCAAGTTCTAAACTAACAAAGTGAATTTATATCTTACCTGAACAATCCAGACATTCATCATCAGTTGCTGTAAATTCTTGGTTAAGAATAGAATTCAAATCTTCCAGAAAATCAACTGATTGCAATGGGGACTTGATAGTTACATGATCTAACATTGAGAAAATAAAAGCAAAACTTAGAACAAAATACATTATATTGACAGACAATGACCTAAATTAGCCAATACCAAAATCAGGTACGTTTCCAGCAGTGAGCAGCGATGATGTGCCAGAATACACAGGTCCAAGAACCTCCTAAATTCATCCTTAGGTCTCATCATCATAATTCTGGAGTGGGCACCAAAGAATACTCTGATACAGTTTACCTCTCAGGCCCTAACCAACCTTGGCTAATTAAGGCATGATAGAAGGAATGGAGTAGGAGGTGGGGAGAGGAAACAGTGATCTGTAGTTTTTTAAGTGGATCAGGAGGATCAATACAGTGAAATGGGCATGTTCTGGAATAACAACATATCGTTGTTGCATTATTACAGTCTATATAATATTTTTCACTCCATTTTGAACTGTGGCATAACATTGATTCGATTAATATTAACATTAATATATAACATTAAATATAATTTAATCACCAGAAAATACATCTACAATATTTCCAACAGGTGAACCAATTCAGCATTCAGAGTCCAGCTTAAAACTGAAAAAAAAAATCCACCTAACTGTTGACACGGGGTTTAAAAAAAACCTACCCAATCTATGGCAACACACTGCTCATTAAAGCTGGCTCATTTTCTGATCTTTATGAGTATGTCTGCTGGTCTGAAAGGGGAATCATTTTGCAAAATTTATAAACTTATCACAAATTCTTTAAGTAGGTTTACAGAACTTTAATGACTTTTCACAAAATGTTTATTTCAATATAGTCAAGCGATTTCTCATAAAACTAATACAGCAAAGTTCTTTTCATGGTGCACTGATTGCTATATTGTTGGATCAAGAGGTCATGAAATAATGAACTAAAACAGAAGTTGCTGGAAAAGCTCAGCAGGTCTGGCAGCATCTGTGAAGAAAAAAATCAGAGTTAACATTTTGGGTCCAGTGACCCTTCCTCAGAACTGATGGTAACTGGGAAAACGTCAGTTTATATGCATAAAATAGGGAGGGGGATGGAGTAGAGAGTAAATGATAGGATAGAGCCCAGAGAGAGAAGAGCAGTTGGATAAACAAAGGATCTGATAATGATCTGGCTAGGACAGTGGATAGTTGTTAATGGGGACAGTTAGTGATTAAATAGGTAGTGCGTAAGATAAAGAACAAAGAAAATTACAGCACAGGAACAGGCTCTTCGGCCCTCCAAGCTTGTGCCGATCCAGATCCTCTATCTACACCTGTTGCCTATTTTCCAAGGATCTGTATCCCTCTGCTCCCTGACCATTCACGTATCTGTCTAGATACATCTTAAATGACGCTATCGTGCCCGCCTCTACCACCTCCCCTGGCAATGCGTTCCAGGCACTCACTACCCTCTGTGTAAAGAACTTTCCGCGCATATCTCCCTTAAACTTTTCCCCTCTCACCTTGAAATCGTGACCACTAGTAATTGAGTCCCCCACTCTGGGAAAAAGCTTCTTGCTATCCACCCTGTCTATGCCTCTCATGATTTTGTAGACCTCAATCAGGTCCCCCCTCAACCTCCGTCTTTCTAATGTAAATAATCCTAATCTACTCAACCTCTCTTCATAGCTAGCGCCCTCCATATCACGCAACATCCTGGTGAACCTCCTCTGCACCTTCTCCAAAGCATCCACATCCTTTTGGTAATGTCGCGACCAGAACTGTTGGCAGTATTCCAAATGCGGTCAAACCAAAGTCCTTTACAACTGTAACCTGACCTGCCAACTCTTGTGCTCAAAACCCCGTCCGGTGAATGAAAGCATGCCGTATGCCTTCTTGACCACTCCATTGACCTGCGTTGCCACCTTCAGGGTACAATGGACCTGAACACCCAGATCTCTCTGTGCATCAATTTTCCCTGGGGCTTTTCCATTTACCGTATAGTTTGATAGTATTAACAAGGTCTGGTTTGTGGCGTAGGGGGCTAGGACATGGGAGAGATTAGGCCCTAAAATTATTGAACTCAATATTGAGTCTGGAGGACTGCAGGATCCCCAAGTGGAAAATGAGGTGTTGTTCTTCCAGCTTGTTTTGAGCTTCGCTTGAACACTGCAGCAAGCCTGAGACAGAGATACTGGCCAAGGAACAGGGTGGTATGTTAAAATGGCAGGCAACAGGTAGCTCAGGGTCTTTTCTGCAAGCAGAATGTAGATGTTCTGCAAAGTGGTCACCCAGTCCACGCTTCATTTCCCCATTGTAGAGGAGACCACATTGTGAGCAGCAAATGCAGTAGACTAGATTCTGGGAAGTGCAGGTGAAGTCTTGCTTCACCTGGAAGGTATGTTTAGGCCCTTGGATATTGGGGAGGGAGGAGGTAAATGGGCAGGTCTTGCACCTTCGCTGGTTACAGGGGAAGGTGCCGTAGAGCTGGGGGATGGGTGAAGCAAGACTGGACCAGGGTGTGTTGGAGGAAACGGTCCCTGTGGAAGGTGGACAAGGGAGGGGAGGGGAATATGTGTCTTGTGGTGGCATCTCGCTGGAGGTGGCGGAAATGGCACCTGATGATCTTCTGGATGTGGATGCTGGTGAGATGGTAGGTAAGGACAAGGGGAACCCTGTCACTGTTGTGGGAGGGAAGAGAATGGGTGAGGGCGGAAGTGTGGGAGATGAGTTGGACCCAGTTGAGGGCCTGTCAACAAAGGTGCTGGGGAATCCTTGGATGAGGAAGAAGTTGGACATTTCGAAGACTCCCTTGTCGAAGCTGGTCTCATCTGAACATATGCGACGGAGACGGGTGAACTGAGAGAATGGGATGGAGTCTTTACAGGAAGCTGGGTGTGAGGATGTATAGTCCAGGTAGCTGTGGGAGTCAGTGGGTTTGTAGTGGATATTAGTGGCTAGTCCATCTATGTATGGCTAGAAATGGAAACAGAGGTGTTGAGGAAGGGAATGGAGGAGCCAGAGATGGACCAGGTGAAAATGAGGGCAGTGTGGAAATTGGAAGTGAAATTGATGAACTTTAACATTTCCGGATTAGAGATTGAAGCAGCACCGATGATATCATCAATATATCATAGAAAGAGTTGTGGGTGGGGGCCGGAAAAAGACTAGAACAAGGTATGTTCCACGTACCCCATGAAGAGACAGGCATAACTGGAGCCCATGAGGGCGTCCATGGCCACCCCTCTTACCTGAAGAAAATGAGAGGAGTTAAAAGAGAAGTTGTTTACAGCGAGGACGACTTGACCAAGCGGAGGAGGGTGGCGGTGGGTGAAGACAGTTCAGGTCTTTGCTCCAGGAAGAAGCGCAGAGCCCTAAGATCCTCCTGGTGGGGGATGGACGTGCAAAGGGATTGGACGTTCATGGTAAAAAATGTGGTGGCTGGACCCTGTAAACTGGAAGTTTTGAAACTGAACTAAAACATCAGAGGAATCATGGATGTACGTGGACAGGGATTGGACAAGGAGAGAGAAGACTGAGTCAAGGTAGGAAGAGATGAGTTCTGTAGGGCAGGAGCAGGGTGAGACAATGGGTTTGCCTGGACAGTCCTGTTTGTGGATTTTTGGATGAAATGAGGTCAGTTACTGTAGTAGATACAATGGCTTGAGGCATCATGGTGGGGTTATGGTCCAGGGGAAGACAAGAGGAGGTATCGGAGAGCTGACGCTCAGCCTCTGCAATGTAGAGGTCAGTACGCCAGACTACAACAGCACCACCCTTATTGGCAGGCTTAATAACAAAGTCATGGTTAGATCTAAGCGCACGGAGTGCAGTTAGTTCAGAGGGAGACAGGTTGGATTTGGTGAGGGGGGCAGAGAAATTGAGGTGACTAATATCACGTCGACAATTCTCCACGAACAGATCGAGTGCAGGTAAAAGGCCAAAGGGAGGGGTCCAGGTGGAGGCAGTGTTGGAACTGGGCAAAGGGGTCTGTGGGACAGGGAGAGGACTCTTGCCCAAAGAAATGGACACGGAGGCAAAGACGGCAGAAGAAGAGTTAGATGTCATGTTGTGCCTGAAATTCGTTAAGATGGGAACGCAGAGGAATAAAGCTGAGGCCTTTGCTGAGTACAGAATGTTCAGCATCGGAGAGCGGAAGTTTAGGAGAGACGGTGAATACCTGACAGGAGGTGGCGCTGGGGGAGGGGTTGGAGTAAAGGGAAGGGGAGGAGAGGAAGGTTCCAGAGGGCCACGGGTATCTTTGAGTTGTTGCATCTTGTGGGCAATGATGCCTGCAAGGAAAAGAAAAAGTTTCTTGTTAGCGTGACGAATGAGCCGGAGGATGAAGTGGAACTGTGGAGTGGTGCAGCCCTGAGCCAGTGTGTTGCGATGCTGTTGGAGAGAAAGGTCGAGAGTGTGCATGTGACACTGCATGGCACTAAGTGTGGATCTCAGGATGCGGCAAGAGCAGCTGTCCATGGAACGTTGAATATCACGGAGATATCTGTGACCCTGTGAGGATTCAAAACATGAGGGATGAAACTTCAGTTGGAATCCACGTGGAGTGAGTCTGAGCCGGAGTCAGTCACTGAGGAATGTGATATGGCTGTGGAAATGAGATTTAGCAAATACTTGGTCAAACACCAGGAGTGACAGTGAAATTAATGTCGGTGGACAAGAAGAAAGATGGAATGGAAATCCCGTCGGAGAGAGGGGCAGAACTTCTTCAAGGTGGGCTTGTCTAGAAGAGATCTGGCAGTGAGTTAAATACTGAAATAATAATGTGTTGATTGTCATATTGAGAGTTTTCATGGCAAGTCTGAACATTTGAATTCCATTAGAAAAAATTTTGAAAGTAAGACGTTGATGTCAGTAAAATTAAGCTGACAGGTTGTTCTAAATGTTTACTTTAGGGAAAGAAATCTACCTTCCTAATGCTGTCAACACGACTGTGACGACATTTTGAAATTACTGTTTCACACTGTCAAATCACTGCACTTTGAAGTGAAGGGCAAGCCACTCAGTCGTAGCAATTGACAACAACAAAAAAGGCAAGAGACCAAGAAGACATTATGTCTTTCAGACTACTAGGATACAAAATAAATGCCAGCCTTGCAGCAATGCCCACATCCTGTGGACTGTTATAATAACAGTAAAGTGCATTATCAATACTGAACTTCCAACATCTGATTGTCAGACCTTTATGGAAAGGAAAATATTTTAACAAAGGACAAATACTGTCCTAAAATAGTTGCTGTAATCACCTGACCATGTTTGAGGCAAATCCAGAAAACTCATATGGAATCACTGGCTGAGATTACAATATTACCTGAAGACTGAATCCAGCCAAGTCAATGTCGTGATAGGAACGAGGTTGGTCACATGGATCTCAATGAGTATGAGTTCCCTGACTGGGACTGTTAACCTGGGCCAATCAGGGAGTCCTGGTTGACAGATATAAATAGGAGTCTCAGGGATTCTCCTTACTCTAGGGACTAGCTCTGCTAGCTGGTCAGAGTCCCTGTATGATGCACATGTAAATAAAAGGTGAATTGGTGATGGGATATCAGCCTCCATGGAGTTATTTCACTCAATTCAGTCAATGTCATGAAATTTTCATACCTTCAACTCACAGATGCAAGATAAATTCACATACTGAGAGATGAAAGATTACTTGCAGAGTATTCAGTCTGGAAGGACAAGGAACAGTCTCACAAATATATAACTTGACCTATATTAACAACTGCTTTGAGCAGCAAGGCAGAAACAAAGAAATATGAACTGATAAACAGCGAGGACACTGCAAGCTCTCTCACCCTGTCTCCTCAACTTTGAAGTTAGTGACCAGTGAAAAAAACAACTTTGGACAATGGCCAATCACCAAGATCTTAACATCTACAAACTTTGCCACTGTTGCAGAATTTGAGTCAACAATTAAACAACTACTTCAGGTTTAAATTCTATGCCTGAGAGACGCTAAGGTCTTTCTTTAAACAAAACTGTGTTGTCTGCTCTTCCAGTCTGCACCAGACCAATTCTCATTTTAAAACTTATCACCTGTGCTTGTGTTGATGTTTAAAGTCACATCGTTTTTTTTCAGCATTAGTAGGTAATCAAATCATAGGGTCAGAGGCACAGAGTCATTGGGTTTTACAGTATAGAAAGAGGTCTTTTGGTCCATTATTTCCATGCTGGTCATCAAGCATCTATCCACTTTAATCCCATTTCTCAACACAAGGCCGTAGTCTTATACATTATGGCATTCCAAATGCTATCTGAATACTACTTAAATGCTGTGAGGCTTCCAGCCTCGACTGTCTCTGCTTCTACTTTTAACCAATGAGTTCCAGATATCTTCCACCCTGTGGGTGAAAAACGTCTTCCTCAAATTCGTTCTAAATCTCCTGCCCTTAACTCTAATCTGTGTCGCCTGGCCAATGACCCCTTGACTAAGGGGAAAAGTTTCTTCGTATCTACCCTATCAATTCCCCTTGTCAAAGACTGGACCAGACCCCCTCAAAATATTTTAAGAAGGTAGCCTAGACCCTAACATTGTCTGATTTTAAAGTCAAATGTAAAATGGTGCATTCCAGATACCATGTGACTGGTCAAACTACTCGATGTTAAGCAAAACACAATTTATTTAAACACAGAGAAATTTAGAATAACTTAACTCTGTTGTTTGCATTTGACAAGGTGCCACACAAAAGCCGCTGCAAAGGATAAAGGTACATGGTGTTACGGGTCATGAATTAGCATGGATAGAGGATTGGTTAACTAACAGAAAGCAAAGAATGGGGATAAATGGGTGTTTTTCTAGTTGGCGATCAGCAGCTAGTGGTGTCCCTCAGGGATCAATGTTGGGACCGCAATTGTTTACAATTTACATAGATGACTACGCTGGGAACCCAGCGTAGTGTGTCAAAGTTCACAGATGACACTAAGATGAGTGGTAGAGCAAAATGTACACAGAACACAGGAAGTCTGCAGAGGGGCTTTGATAGGTTAAGTGAGTGGGCACGTGTCTGGCAGATGGAGTACAGTGTTGGGAAATGTGAGGTCATCCATTTTGATAGGATTAACAGCAAAATGGACAACTACTTAAATGGTGAAAAATTGCAGTACGCTGCTGTGAAGAGGGACCTAGGTGGCCTTGTGCATGAATCACAAAAAGTTGTTTTGAGGTGCAGCAGGTAATTAAGAAAGCAAATGGTATATTGTCCTTCATTGCTAGAGGGATGGAGTTTAAAAACAGGGAGGTTATGCTGCAGCTGTATAGGGCGCTGATGAGGCCACACCAAGAGTACTGTGTACTGTTTTGGTCTCCTTATTTGAGAAAGGATGTAGTGGCACTGGAGGAGGTGCAGAGGAGGTTCACTAAGTTAATTCCAGAATTGAGAGGGTTGGTGTATGAGGAGAGATTGAGTAGATTGGGACTATACTCATTGGAATTTATAAGAATGAGGGTGGATCTTTCAGAAATGTATAAAATTATGAAGGGAATAGATAAGATAGAAGCAGGGATGTTGTTTCCACTGGTGGATAAAACCAGAACTAGGGGGCATAGCCTCAAAATAAGGGGGAGCAGATTTAAAATTGAGTTGAGGAGGAACTTCTTCACCCAAAGGGTTGTGAATCTGTGGAATTCCCCGCTCAGTGAAGCAGTTGTGTCTGCCCGGTGAATGCTTGTAAGGTGACAATAGATGGATTTTTGTAGAATAAAGGAATTAAGGGTTGTGGTGAGCGGGTGGGTAAGTGGAGCTGAGCCCACTAAAAGATCGGTCATGATCTCATTGAATGGCGGAACAGGCCTGATGGACCAGAAGGCCTACTCCTGCTGCTTATTGGAAAACTTAACAGAGCAATAGATTTGGTAACTGTTACTAATTAATTGTTCTAATATAGTAACATCCCATAAACACACCCTTTGGCAAAAAGGCAAGTTCAGAAATATTATTTTCTCACATGCAACGCAGCAGCAGACAGAGAGAGAAAGAAAAAAAAATCAAGCAAAAACTCACACAGAGTAGCAGCTAGGAGACCTCTATTGAAACTTTCAACCCTGTTGAGGCTCCAACAACAACTGCTGCTGAATTTCAAAAAACTGAAAACTAGAAATCCTGGTCTGTGAGAGCTGGCTGCACCCATCCAGGCTGCTTCTATTGTTCCAACTTAAAAAAAAATGCCTCACAAGCTGTTTACTTTACTGTCATTCCAACGAAACAGATCACCACCTCTGTCTTAAAACCACTCTTTAAAAAAGGACAAAATAACCTCTTAAAGCCACAGCAATGTCACACTCTCACCATTTTGTACACATCAGTCAGGTCCCTCTCAGCCTTCTTTGCTCTTTCCTTTCTTTCACTCAAGAAAATCTGATTTACTTCCTTCATTTTGATCTAGTTAATTAGGTTTTAATCAAAGTGTAATTGCTGATTTTGGGAGTGATGGTGACATAATGCTAATGTCTTTAGACTAGCAATCCAGAGACCCCAGATATGCTTTGGGGACATGGGTTTAAATCCCATCACGACTGGTGAAATTTGAATTCAATTAAATTGAAAAGCTAGACTTAGTAATACTGATCATTAAATTCTTATTGATTCAAGAATGGAGTTGGGTAAGATAGACTGCAACAAAAAATTGGCAACAAAAACTAACTGAGCAATATGCTACCTTCAAGGAGAAGATGGTTTGGGTATGGTCAAGGTATTTTTTCTCAAAAGTGAAAGATAGAACAAACAAATCCAATGTTTCCTGGATTAGAAAGAAGATAGAAATTAAAATTAAGAAGAAAAATTGTGCTTATGACACATGTCAATTGAGGACTAACACGAATACAGAAGGATCAGAGAGGAGGTGGAAACTCATATTAGAGAAGTAAAGAGGAATTACGAGAAAAGATTAGCAGCCCACATAAAGAAAAATCCTAGGATTTTCTAAATGCATATAAATAGGATAAAAAAAAGGTAAAAAGAAGTAGGAATCAAAAAAGGTTTTACACATGGAGGCATGGTTGGGGTGAATTATGAACTTTGCATCTGTGCTTACTGAACAGGTGGATGCTATGCAAGCCATGATGACAGAGCAGAAACGTCTGTCACTAAAAGAGTTCAAAATTGATAAGGAAGAAGTATTAAAGAGACTGTTATTGACGAGGCACTGGGACAGATGAACAACATCCAAGGATATTCGAGGAAATAAGAATGGAAACGGCAAGAGGACTGGCCTTAACCTTTCAGTTCTCACTAGACTCATTCGCTAGAAGATTGGAAAATTACAAACATTATGTCCTTATTCAAAAAAATTGTAAGGATAAGCTCAGCAATCACAATCACCTGGTTGTAACCAAACAAATAAAATGTAAAGTCTGTTTCTTTCTAACAACTATATCTTCTGTGGATCAGAAGACAATCATGATAACTATTCTCATTATAACCTATAGTGCACGTAGTGTGATTTCAATATTTCACATGCTTCTATTATAGGTACAACAATTATGTTATTGTTGTGGAAAATGAATGACCTGTGAAATTATATTGAACTAACCTTGATGTTTTGCTTTTATCCATCCGAGAAGGTAGTTGCTAGTTTGTTGCAGTAGGACATTATTGTCACCTTCATATGTACAGTTAGGATCATTGTCATTTCTAACGTCCCCGAGACGATTCACTGTAATACAAATTATATTTGAAAATGAATAATATTTCTAGTGGCTTTAATAGCTCATAACGTGGTTGTTCTCAGTCTTGTACAAGTTAAAATGAGAAAAAATAAGTCTGACCTGAAGCCAGTTCTTTGGTAATTTCTTTAATTTTTGAGTACAACTAAAAAATATGAACAACACAAGTAGGGAAATTGGAAAATACGGACTGATGACAAGTTTAAAACAAAAAGTGTTTCGAACATAGCCAAGTACAGCACTTTTGGCATTATATTGGTCCAGAACATTTTTGTTTTGTTTAAATCATAGTGTCAATTTGCAAAGAACACTTCATAAAGGGCAGAATTATTGACTACAGTGCTGCATTCAATGAAAATGTCATTTATAAAATTTTGAAGCTCTTTAGATACCATAAGACAAAGCCTACATTGATGTGTAAGGTAAAGGATACAAAAATATTCTTGACGTTGAAAGAAGAGGTGCAACAAGACTTGGGTGTTCTTTGCACTGAGATCAAAACAGTTTTCCAAAGTAGCTTGTATACAAAAGAAAATGTGACTGATTGAGATCCTGAGGGAATGATTTTATACCATTTTGGCTAGTTTTATACTCTTGCTCCCTCATTTTTAAAATTTTATCATGTACAGTTCAGAATCAATGGGAAAATTTTGCCAGTTTTTGGGCCTTGGAAGATTTATACTACCTTTTGAAAGCAGTCACCTACTTCATTCCCCATTAATTTTCCCAATTCATTAACCAACCCCTCCCAATCTCTGTTATAATTTCTTTGATCTTTAGAGAACTCCTTTAAAAAGTTTAATCTAAAAAAAAACTTTGTCGATTCATCCTCATCACACGTAGCAAAAGAGATATACTGCTCTACTGTGATCAAATATTTTCAATTTTTTCTCTTCTGTCTTGTTTGATTATATCTTTTGTTATACTTTTAAAATTAGTTACTGGGAATTATTGGTGGAATTATCATTCTTTCACGAAGTCAATCCCACTTACTCCAGGTTTCGATTTAATTATATGGAGGGTACACATTTTATCCACCTTTTTCTTTGGGACATGCACAGGAAGGTTTTCAATCTTCTCCAAGTGGTCCAGAGTTTAGTTTGTCTTTCTTATCACATATATAGTTTGGTACCACTGGACATATTACTTCATTTTACTCTCATGTAACTCTTTAACTATTTTAAAGTCACATTCTTTATGGTTTTCTTTCCTCTTTCGCTTGAGAACAAACTGATAAGAGCATAAGAACATAAGAACTAGGAGCAGGATTAGGCCATCCGGTCCCTCGAGCCTGCCCCGCCATTTAATAAGATTATGGCTGATCTTTTTGAGACTCAGCTCCACTTACCCGCCCATTCACCATAACCCTTAATTCCTTCACTGCTCAAAAATTTATCTAGCCTTGCCTTAAAAACATTCAGTGAGGTAGCTTCAACCGCTTCACTGGACAGGGAATTCCACAGATTCGCAACCCTTTGGGTGAAGAAGTTCCTCCTGACCTCAGTCCTACATCTGCTTCCCTTTATTTTGAGGCTATGCCCTCTCGTCCTAGTTTCACCTGCTAGAGGAAACAACCTCCCTGTCTCCACTTTAACTATTCCCTTCATAATCTTATATGTCTCTATAAGATCTCCCCTCATTCTTCTGAATTCCAATGAGTATAATCCCAGTCTACTCAGTCTCTCCTCATAATCCAACCCTCTCAACTCTGGAATCAACCGAGTGAATTTTCTCTGCACCCCCTCCAGTGTTAGTATATCTCTTCTCAAGTAAGGAGACCAAAACTGCACACAGTACTCCAGGTGTGGCCTCACCAGGACCCTATACAGCTGCAGCATAGCCTCCCTGTTTTTAAACTCCATCCCTCTAGCAATGGCAGACAAAATTCCATTTGCCTTTTTAATTACCTGCTGTACCTGCAATCCTACTTTTAACGATCCATGCACAAGGACACCCAAGTCCCTCTGCACAGCAGCGTGCTGCAATTTTTTACCATTTAAAACAGTCCATTTTGCTGTTATTCCTACCAAAATGGATGACCTCACACTTATCAACATTGTACTCCATCTGCCAGATCTTTGCCCACTCACTTAGACTATCTATATCCCTCTGCAGACTTTCAGTGTCTTCTGCACACTTTGCTCTACCACTCACCTTAGTATCATCTGCAAATTTTGACACACCACACGTAGTCCCCAACTCCAAATCATCTATGTAAATTGTAAACAATTGCGGTCCCAACACTGATCCCTGAGCACACCACTAGACACTGACCGCCAACCAGAAAAACACCCATTTACCCCTACTCTTTGCTTTCTACTGGTCAACCAATCCTCTATCCATGCCAATACGTTAGCTGTAATATCGTGCAACTTTATCTTATGTAGCAGCCTTTGCTGTGGCACCTTGTCAAACGCCTTCTGGAAATCCAGATACACCACATCCACAGGTTCCCCATTGTCCACCATGCAAGTAATGTCCTCAAAGAATTCCACCAAATTAGTTAAACATGACCTACCCTTCATGAACCCATGCTGGGTGTTCCCAATGGGACAATTTATTTCCAGATGTCTTGCTATTTCTTCCTTAATGATAGGTTCAAGCATTTTCCCCACTACCGAAGTTAAGCTAACTGGCCTATAGTTACCTGCTTTTTGTCTACTTCCTTTTTTAAACAGTGGCATCACATTGGCTGTTTTCCAATCTGCAGGAACCACCCCGAAGTCCAGTGAATTTTAGTAAATAATTACTAGTGCATTTGCTGTTTCCCCAGTCACCTCTTTTAGTACCCTGGGACGCATTTCATCAGGGCCAGGAGACTTGTCTACCTTTAGCCCCATTAGCTTGCCCAGCACTGCCTCCTTAGTGATAATGACAGTTTCTAGGTCCTCACCTGCTATAATCTTCTTGCCATTAGTTTTCAGCATGTTATTTGTGTCTTCCACTGTGAAGACCGACACAAAATAACTGTTTAATGTCTTGGCTATTTCCTCATTCCCAGTTATTAACCTGGCCTTCTCATCCTCTAAAGGACCAATGTTTACCTTCACCACTCTTTTAAGATTTACACATCTATAGAAACTTTTGCTGCCTGTTTTTATATTCTGAGCTAGTTTACTCTCATAATCTATCTTACTTTTCTTTATAACTTTTTTTGTGGCTTTCTGTTGGCCTTTAAAGATTTCCCAGTCTACTAGTTTCCTACTACTCTTTGCTTTTTTGTATGTTTTTTTTTCAATCTGATACTTCCCTTTATTTCCTTAGACATCCATGGCTGGCTCTCTCTTTTCCTACAGTTCTTCCTTATCACTGGAATATACTTCTGCTCAGCACTGTGAAAAATCATTTTGAAAGTCCTCCACTGTTCCTCAATTGACCCACCATAAAGTTTTTGCTCCCATTCTACCTTAGCTAACTCCTCCCTCATTTCTTCATAGTCTCCTTTGTTTAAGCACAGGACATAGGTACTGGATTTAACCTTCTCATGCTCCATCTGTATTTTAAACTCGAACATACTGTGATCGCTCCTTCCGAGAGGATCCCTAACTGTGATATCATTAATTATTCCTGTCTCATTACACAGGACTAGATCTAGGATAGCTTGCTCCCTCGTAGGTTCCATTACATATTGTTCAAGAAGATTATCGCGGATACATTCTATGAACCCCTCCTCAAGGCTGCCATGACCGACCTAGTTTGACCAATTGATGTGTAGATTAAAATCCCCCATGATAATTGCAGTACCATTTTTACATGCATTAGCTATTTCTATGTTTATTGCCCGCCCCAACACGATGTCATTATTTGGTGGCCTATAGACCACACCTATCAGTGGCTTCTTCTCCCTGCTATTCCTAATTTCCACCCAAGGGTAGATGTACTACCCTTACTGCAGCTTTCAAATTATCCTTGTTTTCACCTTTGACTTCTTTCTCTTTCTGTTTATATGCTTCCTCCTTTTCGTCACTTAACTTCTGTTTGTCCAATATTTAACTTTGGAGATGTTGAATCTCTGTGAGAGAGTACACTCTTTTTTGTAAAAACTGAAAGAGCTGCAGATGCTGTAAATCAGGAACAAAAAACAGAAGTTGTTGGAAAAGTTCAGCAGATCTGGCAGCACCTGTGAAGAAAACATCAGAGTTAACATTTCGGGCCTGGTGACCCTTCCTCAGAACCATTCTGAGGAAGGGACACCAGACCCGAAACGTTAACTCTGATTTTTCTTCACAGATTCTGCCAGACCTGCTGAGCTTTTCCAGCAACTTCTGTTTTTGTTACAATCTTCTTTGTTTTGTTTTCTCTTTCTTCACTTAGTTCTTTTAACAACCAGTTGATCATTGGCTTTTACGTTTTTTTCCTCAACTTATTTTCTTAATATGGTATTTATCGTTTTTAAACTGGAGTTGGCATGCCATGAGCCAACTAGTTTTCAGCAAACCAGGTAGTACCTTGTATTCTCTGTTCTTCGATTATCTTCATTTAGAATCATTCAAACTCATGCCTCATTTAAAGGTAATTGGCCTTCTATATAAATAATGTCTGTTTCAAAGATTTTCCCTTTAAGTTGGAGAGTGTCATTTTATTCTTCTTAACGCAAGCCACTCAGACTCCAATTAGATATGGGGGTTACTATCTTTACAAGGCACTTTACTTGTAGTTCTTTTAACTTGTGAATTACAAGAGTACAAAGTGATTCAATCAGACGACTATTTCTGTTAATTTAAATTTAACATTGACACAGGTTTGAAATGGTTATAGGAAAATTCAAATGGTTACAAATATGCTTCTAGATTTAATAGTTTTTGAAAAGAAAATAATTAAAATACAGCAACAATTCAACTCCTCACTGATAACTAGAATCAAAAATGGTAAACTATGTTCCATTATGTCCAACAAGCAAACATCTCCACCAACACCTATGTTATTATACATGTATATATATTAATAATGTATTAATTATGGTCATACAATCAATAGAGATGACTGGCTC